ACCCGTTAAAAACTCATCACAGGAGCTTTAATCAACAATTAGATCGTCTTGAAAGTCAAGAGAGTAAATGATCTGAAGAGAGCGACAGTGCTCTTTGAATGAACGTGCTCCTGGATAACATGTCGCGGTCAAACTTACATGAAGTTGTCGGGCCGGCGGCTTGGTAAGGGGGGCAGCGTGGCCGGGGGCGGAGGTGTTCCTTGGATGCAGTCGGGGAAGAAGCAGCGATAGACTTTCAAGTTCACATTAAAGTCTTTCATGGAGCGGTCCACGCTGGAACGACGACGACGCTTGCTCGTCTTCCCGGACACTGAAATAAAAAAAAAAGCCAAATAAATAAAGAATCACAAACGAGCAAAGGATGAAGACTTCCCCTGACGTTCTGTAAAAATGACCCCGAAAGCAAAACTGAGATATTTACATCACACGGCTCAGTGTGTCTAATGTGTTGACTCAACAATAATGATGACACACAATGATCTATAAAATCTATAACAGCCATTTTCATTTTAATAATAAACATCATTTCAGCAGGTAATCATATAAAACCCAAGAAAATCAGCCGCTAAGTAGATGTTCACAACAACTATAACGATCCTTAGTCATCAAAATAGGAGCAAGAACACAAAGTTTCCATATTGATTTGAGTCTTACAGATGTAGGAGAGACTTTTGGAGCTTTCCTCAAAGTGCCAGTCGCCACTTTCATTCTCGCTGTAGCTGAGCGGCGACTCCGAGCCGTTCCTCTTATCTATGATGTAGAAACTGTCCGGACTCTGAGTGAGGTTGTGTTTGATGATCACATATTGATCTTGCTGTGTGCGGGGGGAAAAAAAAAAGGCCAAGCATAAAGATCATCAGCGTAAATAGTCCAAAAAAGCTGGTTTGAAATTTGATTTTGTGTTATCTTATTTTGTTTTGTACCTTGAAGCCGTAGAAGGTTGCAGTGTATGAGAGATTGGTGATTTGGAAGGCGTTTTCAAAGTTCATGAGGTACGTTTTCCCAGAGGGCACCAAGGCCATCCAGCCCTTCTTATGAGTCAGTCTCTTCTCCTTGTATGGAACTGCACTGGTACCTGTAACAGAGAGTTTAAAGACATCACACTACGGATAAAGACAACAGACGAGACAGTCTTATATTACAGTGGACGTTTATGTTTTTCATGAACTACTCTGTGAAAACTAGAGGACAGGAGAGTGGGAGTCTCATCTTTTATTGTGTCACAGGTGCAGCAGTGATTGTGCAAAACAAAAAGGGTCAAAACAAAAGGTCAAAGTAGGTAAAGTCAACCAACAACTGAGGAGGAGTTATGATGCAAATTTTGAGATTATCAATGAGTTTTCTCCAAAAGGTGGCCGGGCTCAGCTTTAGAGACAGGGGGAGGAGCTCGGAGTAGAGCTGCTTCACTTTCGCATCAAAAGGAGCCGGCTGAGGTGCCTCCTGGTCGCCTCTCTCAGGAGGCCTTCCAACTGGGAGCATTGGAAGCGTTAAGATATTGGATGGATGGATGGTGATCAATGCAGCATTTTACCTGAATAAGATTGCATTCATAAATTGATGAACTACTGGACGATCTGCATCCTTTCTAACCTGCAGACATATGCTCTGCAGGTGAAGGTAATCAGAGAGAGAGAGAGAGAGAGAGAGAGAAGGAGACGTGCCCTGGTTAGTCTCTCCTCTAATGCATGGAATACTGGGCAATGGAAATGTGAGGGGAACAGGGAGATTTTTTTTGGCACATACAGGAAAGTGACCAGGGTGGGAGAAGCTGCTGTGTGTTTTAAGAGAGGAGAGGTGTGTGAGTGTGTCTGTGGATATGAAATACAAAATAATAATAAGTTCTTCGCAGGTTCAAGGGTCTGTTGGCTTTCAGCACACTCCTTGATAATTCTACAGCACGAGAGCAGGGAATCAGCACTCCCACTTATCACCAGCAGAGGTCAGCACAGGCTCAACCACAGTTCTTTTCTTCTCCATCAAACAAAATACAGACATGAAAAAGTAGAAAGTCTGTGTGTTTTCAATACCATAGTCGTTGGTGAGCAGGATATTCTTAGGATTCAGAGAAGATGGGGAAGGGTTGTTGAGTGCCAGACGGTGGAAGTGAACGGTGTCGTCGCACACGTATCCGGGGTAACCGTTGCTCCACTCCTCACTGTGTGTACAGTGAGCTGGGTCCAACAACGAGCTGTTGGACACCACTTTGTTCCCAACCGTTCCTGAAATTGACAAAACACAAGAATGTTATAATGTATAATTGTTCGGTCGCTCTTAATAGTGTAAGGAAAACAATGTAATGCTGTTTTCGTATTAATGAGGATCTGTTACATTTAAGAAGGGCTGAGTACCTGTGAGGGAACCATCTGTGTCCACCATCTGCACCTCAAACTCCCACTTCAAGCCGCACTTGTTGGGTGAATTGAAATACTTGATACCGCCGAAGAGGGCAGACCAGCCGCCACATCTTTCAACGCATGTCCCATCCACTGTGGTTACCCCGAAGGCTGCATAAGAGGCCTGGTCGAAGTTGATGAGCGTAGTGTTCAGGACGACCATGCCGTCGTCGAATGGCAGGATGATACCCCGGGTACGGGTTTCTGTCTCGAACCCTCCGAGCTCCATTAGGTGGCCCACGATGATGCTGTTGAACACCCCAGCCCCTCCTTCCCTTCCTGTGCCGCTCACAGCCCACGGGAAGATACGCTTGGCTTCAATGCCGGCTTTCTCGTTGTTGACCATGAGGAAGCTGTCGAACTGCACAGCGCCCACGTTGACCCACTCGGCACCTTTTTCGCAGTTCCAGGTGGTGAGGGAGTGGAAGACAGCAGGCTCTGGGGTTTTGGACCTGCAGGTGCCGCCCTTCATGGGGAAGTAGTCTTGGAAGATCCAGAGGCCGAACCAGCCCTGGGAGTGCACCGTGTTGTTGTGGAACTCGCCGAGAGGAACCCTTTTCTGGCAGATGCTTCCGTCAAAGGACGGGCCATCCGGGTGCTCGTGCATGCGGTACCAGAAGCCGAAGTGGGTGCCCCCGGCGGCGGCATTGTGTCGGATGATGTTGTTGGGATTGGTGACCCAGTAGGCGGCGGGAGTGACGTCGTCGTTCAGCAGGCTGGTGCTCTGTCTGACAAACACAGCCAGGTTGTACTGCAGGATGTTCCCCGTCTCAATGCCGTCTTCAATGAAGAAGGCCCCGCCCATGATGTTGTAGATGACGGTGTGCTCCACCAGCAGCCTGTGGGTATTGTGGATGGTAACTGCCCTGTTGAAGGTCTCGTGGATGGCACAACCTCGCACGTACGATGTGTAGTTCAAGTCTCCCATCAGATGCCAGTGGATGGGATAACGCCCCAGCCTGAAGGCCTGTCCCATGTAGGTCAGCTGCAGGAAAAAAAGTCATGAAAACATTATTACAAGTTTTGTGTTTAAGTCTATGAAAATAAATGATAACAAAAGCTGAATGTGTCCACAGAGTGTTAAGCAGTTCACCTCAACAAATTCAATCCTGCCCTTTACACGATCACGATCTGGTGTGGGTGAGTGAAACATGATGGTGCCTCCAAACTGATCGCTGCCTACTTCGGCTCCATGCCTGCCTTGGAAGCACGTTTGGGTCTGGAATTCACCTACGGCAGAGCAGGCAGAGAACCGTGTTAACACTTACACACCCCGATGGGGATATACAGGAAACTGTTGTGATCTCAAAATGAGTGTAAGGACGCGATAAACAAGGAGCAAATGATTCCTGAACTCTAAGGGTCAGGTTTACAACATGGAGTTAATTTTCTAATGTATGTGTTTGTGTCTACATTATAGCAAACACTGTTGATTTCATGAAACAAAATATACATCTTGATCCAGTTTGAAAGGCTTACAGTAATCTGTAAGGTATTATTCTTCTCTGTTTACTTAAAAAAATGCTTTAAATGTGAGTATTTAATGTTTTATTCAAGGTTTTGGCATTGAGATATTATCAAGTGAATCTTTAAAGGAGCGATGTGTAACTCTGACACCTAGTGTTTAAAATGGGTACTGCAGTCCAAATTCAAAACATTGTAGAGAGCTGTCTCCCCTCCTCTCTAGAGTCCATGCTCGTGCAGGTTGCCATGTGGTGGACACTGAAGCTTCAGTGTTTAGCCAGCTCTGCATTGTTCTGTAAACCTTTCTCCATTTTTCAAAAGCATCTCCAATATTGATCCTAATTTGATTTAGACCATTCAAGACCAGAATCTAAAGTTAGAAGGAGGACATACTGGCTGCTGCATTGTTGTCAGAGAAGCCAACACTTCAACATAGCATGTTTCCTTAATGTCTGATCATATAGTAAGGTCACTTTATCATTTCATTCAGTAGATATCTTACATATTGGACCTTTAATGTCAATCAAGTTCAGGTTTTGTTGTGATAAAATGGCAAGTTTTGATGTTTAAAGTGTACATCCTTCTCAAATAACACATATTCATCTGGTAAATCCTTTCAAATTGAACTACAAAATGTGTCAAAGTAAATGGAAATAAATTGTAGTCTGTGTCAGTTTGAATATACAGCCACTTCATGATTGTTGTGACTTTTAGCGTAAAATCAGATCAAAGTAGTGCAAACATCCTCCGCTGTCAGACTGTACCTGTGTTAAAGCCAGCAGGACAGGCTTCAATCTCCGTGTTCCATTCTTTGTTGTTGGAACCTCGTACCACGACGTTCCTGCTGAGGAGACCCACCTCAGCTCGGGCATCAAACGTCTTCCCACCAGGCAGTGTGGTGGTCACCCCGAGGTGAGCGTACTCCAGCGCTTCTTCCAGAGTTAGAGTCTTTCCGTCGGCTGACACGGCGGCTATCGTCTTCTTCTCGTTCTCTCTCTGACTGTGCCTGGAAACACAAATGATTTCTACCTTTGAGCTCTGTAGCTTTGTTTAAAACGTGTCAGTATATAAAACTATACATGTGCATATGTCAAGTTTAATAATATGGTAGAAAAAACACGCTCAACTCCCTTTTAACCTCAAACAACTGGGGGCTGAATCCCCAAAATGTTCAAAAAAGAAAAACAAGGACGGCACTCCAAAATTGTATTTTGATTGCCACACGGATGAAGAGCGTCTGCTTGAAACGTCCGTGTGGCAATCAAAATACAATTTTCAAGTTTAACAATATGCCTATTTGTTTGCTTCTACTCTACTATTGATATCTGAGATTGGTTGACGACATCTGAAAGTACTGAGGTTGAGCTTCTTGGTTTTTGTGCGGGATAGATGTTTCTTTTTTTCTTGGTTTTTTTCATCTAATGATTGAGAGTTTTACATCTTTGTTGCTACTCAGAAATAAATAATACTAAATTATACAGAAAATAAACTATAAAATAATTGTCCAGAAATAAAATAATTTTTTTTTGTTGTTAATAATTTTGAGTATGCATGAGTCTTAAACTTTAAGGCAAGGTGCATTTACTTTCAGAGAGCGCCATTCATACATAAAGTGATTCAAAGCGCCTGAGATAGAAATGTGTGACCAAGGTAAGACAGGTAAGATGTCTCTCTTCATGCATTTCTCTTTCAGGTAGGGTTTCAGGGCAGAGGTCAGATTCAAACCCACGGCCGCTGCGATGAGGACTCTAGCCTCTGTACACGGGGGACACATAACCTCTAGGCTATCCGGCGCCCCATCAAATCCTTTATCTATGTACTTCCACTTCGGGGTACAGGCAATCACAGTTTTTATATTCAAAAGCATTCCCTTCATTATCTTCATTTCTTCTCTGACATCCACAAACTCGAGACCCTGCTATATACCTGTGGCCTGTGGAGGCGATGACAATTTCATCTCCGACGCTCCACGTCACCGCCTTCATCAGGGTCAGTGTCTTGGAGTCCTTAGCTGCCGTCTGTGCGAGGTGGGTCCACGTATCAGCGACTGGTTTACCTGCAGAAACAGATTGTTAACAATGATCCACACCTGAGGGGGGAAGGTGAGCTGTCAGTAATAATGACATCCCTGCAGGACGCACGACTCACATAACTCTGTCGGATCAACATTATGTGACATAATGACATGAAATCCGGGGCTTTTGGAAGATTCAGTTCAGGACTAATTCAGTTCCTCATAGCTCAACAGAGACGTCAGTAATTCAGTCAGAGAGGATGCATCTTGATCCTTAATTTAAAGCTCCTGAGGGAAACTTTTGGTTTGTGTTGACAGTGGCACCCCTAGTGGCCAAAGCCTGAAAATACTAAGGTTGAGTATCAAACATTCACTCATTTAATACTTGCTTTAGAAACTGTTCAAACAAAGGTTGTTCTGAAAATTGTCAGACAGCCAGTCATTAACAATGATTACTTCACGGCCGTGTGTAATTCTTTACAGCCGGTTTTGATTGGCCAATTACGCATATCAACAGCCAATTCTATTTTCTTATTCGGACAGAGAGAGGCTAGCTGTTTCCACCTGTTTCCAGTCTTTGTGCTAAGCTATGCTAACTACCTGCTGTTCTACCTTCAACTTAACCAACATGAGAGAGATATTTGTTTTCTCATCTGTTTGAATTATTCATGTGTGCGTTCATACCATGCAAGTCCAGCACGCCCTCTCTGATAGCGATTGCCTTAGCACCGTACATAGGAAGTTCAGGCGAGCGCTGGTGTCCATGAAGTGTGATGATGGCTTTGTGCTGGAATGGCGCCCCCTCTCGACCGACCTCGAGCCGACCGCCGTCTGTGATCAGGATGTTTTCCGCCTGTAGCTCGATGTCCGCTTCGTCAAAAACCAACGCCCCTCCTTTGAGCAAAAACAAAGGAAGTCACAAACTAAATACTGGTGTTCAAACTCAGGTAAATATTTTAGTTCTCATACCGAGCCGTCGTACGATTACATTTCACTGATTCACATTTTGATTTGATCATGTTTTGTATTAAAAATGAATTTCACTGAAAAAGACGTTTGACTCGTATGTGAACCTTGGATCAGGAGCATTTTCAGAACTGGAGTGTTGGTGTCCAGCAGGATGGTCTGTCCTTTAGTGATGACAGCAAACGTGCCTTTCTCAGGTGGAGACTGACCCCCCCATGTGTACCTGGATGACCACACGTCAACGTAGAAGAAATCTGCATTCTCCTGTAAAAAAAGAGACAAACATTAAAAATAAGACTCTACAGATATGAAACTGATGACACAGTGTGTATGTTATGGCTCTTCTCTCTTACCATCTTAGCGATGCCTTGATCTCCGATGCTGACTCTGACTTTGGTTTCCTGAGACCTTGGCTGAGCATTCGTCACACAGGTGATCTGTGTGCTGGTGGTGGACTGAACGTCGCACCCAGAGTCTGCGATGGTCACTTTGACTTTGCTTTGGTCGGTGCTGTAAGGTGGGAAAGATTGAAATAAAACAATACACCAATAGGTTCATTTAATACCTGGTAAATAGAGAGAAGTTTGTTTGTGGTCTGCATAAATCTTACAACACAGAGAGAAATGCTCCGTTTCAAATGTGCTCTCCTTGTGACATCACAGTGGGATTCTGGTAAAAAAAAAATACCCTCCCCTCCTGAGTTGTCTCCGGCACCCATGTTTTCCCCAGGGGGGCACGCCGACGAGTTGCCATGGAAGCTCAAAGCTGAACTCGTCTGCACCCACCGTGGAAGAGAGGGGGCGGGGTGAGGCGGAGCTCATTGCATTTAAAGAGACACACGCACACCAAAACGGAGCGTTCTGAGAGAGCTGGTTTATACAGGGTCACAAACCTCCTCTGGTGCTTGATTCATGTTATATTTTGACCAAAGCACAGCACAGATGTTTCATTTAGACCACAGGGGGACTGTTTGAGAAGGTGGAAAAGGGCTATGATATGTCCTCTTTAATGTCTATGTGCGGAACTAATCTAAAATTTAAAGATGTTTAAAAACTCTGCTTTGGTTTCATATATGGATCAAGTTTTGAAAAACCCTACATGACTTTGCATTAAATCCAATGAAAGCAAAGACGTCCCAGAACTGAAAACGTTTGTCTGTGTAAGCCGAGCTCTTGATTCTCGAGCAGCGGTCCATGATATGGGTGTGGCTCTCCGTGTCATACTCTATGTACTGTGTGGACTTTTTTTTTTTTTTTGCTCTCCTGCACCTGAAACCGGAGCCTGTGATTGTCAGCAGCGTGCCTCCAGCGGTGCCTCCTCTGCGCGGAGAAACCTCAGAGATCACCGGAGTCAGCTGAGATTTGTAGGTGAAGCCATTCGATGTGTTGACGGCATCGTTCTGGTTGTAGACTGCAACCTCGCAGCTCGCCTCTGACTCAGTGCCTGAGAGCAGACAGAGAGACAGAAACATGCAACAACAAAGACAGGCATCAAGATGAGTGCTTAGAGATAACAAACAGCCGTAAGATGTCTCCTCTTTGAAGAGTCACTGTCTGTCATTCTGCGGTGATAAATGGCTGACCACATTCCTCGCTGACGGAAGTCTGTCTCCATTATTGTTTAACTTAGACAGGACTGGTTTATTACAATGAGTCTGCAACTGAAAATATCAACCACACATTCTTTCCATAGAAAACTGAAACGTTTTAACCTTTACTAGAAAGACGAGCTGCCTCTTCTTTTGTTCAGTCTAAAATACTTTAACTGTTCCTTTCACTGCTTTGTAGTCTGGGGATCAGCAAGAGTTTAAGTTGTTAATTGTTCTGTCATAATAATGATATAACAGAAAACATGAAATATTTCCCCCCAGCAGAGCAGCTTCCATCATGTTCTATGTGAAATTAAAGCAAAACTGTGATTTATTAAACTAAACTAAGCCGTGCCAGGGTGTAGACTTCTTCACAACATTTGAGCCTAACCTTAGCAAACAAACACGCTTTATATGATTTCAGGGGTCAAATGTCTATAAATGTTGTCGTTATTATTTATTATTAATTCAGGCCTATGTGTGTGAGGAGCAGGTCTCTCAATCACACACATGCACAAACAGGACGTGTGGACATGCTTTAGTGGAGATATGTCAGAGTGGGGCTGCTACACTCTGCCACACAGGGGGTTGTTTTTTGTTGTTAGGGGTCTGGTGCCTTGCTCGGAATTACCCGGGAAGTGACCTGCACCTCTCCAGCTACCAGACCCACTTCCATAATGTGGTGTGTTGTCATTTATCTGAAGGCAGATCTGATAGTTTTAAATCTGGACCTGAATTGCTGCACAGTGAAGAAACAGTTGAAATAGATTTAAGAAGTCGAAGTGAAGCTGTTGAAGCGGCGTGACCAACAAGATTTTAAAAAGTGGGAAAGGGGTCAGCGTATTATTATCAGTTTACACTTTAGTAGCAAACTTCTCCTTCATTTCTGTGACATTACAGTCGATTTTTTTTTTTACTGCATATCCTGATAACAAACCATTTCAGGGCTGTCGGTAGCCAAGAGGTTAGTTTGCATGCACCATGTACAGAGGCTTAAGTTCACATGAGCGTGCAGCTTGGGTTTGAATCCGACCTGCGGCTCATATCCTGCATGTCATTCCCCGCTCTCTCTCTCTCTCTCTCTCCACATTCAAGCTTACCACTGTTGTTTGGAGACTCGCAGTACAGACGTGTCGATGTCGACATGTTTCTGTTAACGTTGCACTCCTCTCCGCAGATCCTCACCGTGGATCTGTCCGGGTCAAAGCCGGACCCCTGCACGGAGAGCAGAGCGCCGCCAGCGAAACTGCCTGAATAACACATGAGGTAGACAGCGAGACAGAATGCAGGGGCATCATTTATGGTGACCTGGACCTGCTGAGAGTCGTTGTGGAATCCTGAACCTGTCAGGGTGATGACGGTCCCACTCGGCCCTGCGGGGAATAAACGAGGAGGGAGACGATGTAATGAGAGACAGGTGGCACAGGACTAAATGGGTGTACTGTTAATATCAGACTTTATATGGTATATCCCTTTATTCAGGTAAAATGATACAGTGTGTGCTCTCCTCAGCGCTGTAAGGTGAAAATCTGACCTAATTATTGACGCTTTATTTTGTAAGTACTGATATTAAAGGATATTCTTTAACGCTGAAGAATGACATCATCCATCCAGAAAAAACAACAAGAAGAAAAACATTGAGTTTTGAGACCAGATCTCCAGATATAAATCTAAAGGGACTTTGTGGTTCAGTGAAGGTCAAACGAGTAATTTACAAATCAAACAGTTTCTCCTCTTGAAACCTGAAGATTACAGTCACGGTTCTTCTTAGGTTTACTCTCTGGAGTCTACGTTTCAGGAAGGAGGGAATAATATTTTGCGATAATGATAAAAAATTAAAGGACATGAAAATGGTCAAACTGTTCTTGTCTTTTCCTCGTTTCTATTTTGGTCTTCACAGCAGATCGCTTTGGTTTTTCAATTTGTTTGTGATCTCTGTTTACATGTGGATTGTTGTATTGATGCTACGGTCGAGGCAGCTTAATGTGTGCAGCACCTGAGTCCAAGACAAATCTCATAAAGAAATGTTTCTGTTTATCACATCTAACGCCTCACATGGTATTTGGTATCAAATTGTCTTATTGATTGTAAATATCTGTTTTCAGTTACATCGGTTATAAACTAGAGAACATGAATTTAGTTGTGAGGATTTGTATCTTAAAAATAAGTTGTTGTTTTTTTAGGTTGCCGGAGGAATCAAAAATCTCAAATAGAGCAACAAACTCCTCCTGAACTGAACTCTTTGTTCTGCTTCCTAATGGATGAAGTTCTTTTCACTACAGGACGTAGGAGGATAGTTACCAGTGGCAGGGCTGATGGAGATGATAGAAGGAGTTTTGTCTTTCGAGTAGTTGAAGCTGAAAGGCGGGTAATTGACTGAAAACACTTTGACGCTGACAGTCTTCACTCCCTCGCTGTGAGGAGGTGTCAGGCAGCGAAGACGCGCCGGCGTCACTTCCTGAATCTCGCAGGGCTTGCCGCCGATCATCACGCTGGTGTTGCCCGGAGCGAAGCCGTTTCCAGTGAGGACCAGATTGGTCCCTCCTGCCAGGCTGCCCGCGTTGGGGTTGAGGACGGCTGTGGCGTTGCTGGTGAGGGTGACTGAACCTCTAGCAAGACCGATGCTTCTCAGGATCACACTGACTTCATGGTCGCCCGCAGAAAGAGCGTCGACCGTCGCTGAAATGCTGCCATTAGTGACCCCGGTGACCTCCAGCTCTGTGCTGCCAGCAAACACTGCCACGTCACCGCTGTCGGAGCCGAACCCAGAGCCAGAGAGGGTGAGGGAGGACGGCCCGCTGATGCTATCGGGGGAAATACTGGTGAGCTCAGGCGTGATGGAGGAAGAATACTCGAAGGAGCAGCTTGATTTACAGGAGCTTTGGATCCTGCCCACGTGGAAGACTACATCACCAGAGCGCGGCTGAGAAGGCGAGGTGTCACAGACAATAGAGGTGTAGTTCAGCGTGACCACAGAGCACAGGTGGTCGGCCGCTGTCACTTGTCCTTCAGAGAAGCCCGAGCCGTGAACGAGGAGTCGAGTGTGGCCGGTGGAGCTGCCGCTTCGAGGCCAGACGGAATCAATCACAGGCAGAAGCACAAAACGCCGATGGAGCTCTTTCGGCACAGCGACGATGGCGTTCCCGAGGTTGTTGACTCTGACGGCTACGGGGTGAGGGACACCCGTGGAGAGTCTGTTGTCTTTGCTTAGCTGACAGTAGATCTCTGAGTTAGAGCTGTTGATCACCTGGCAGGACTGATCTCCCACTGTCACCTACAGGACGCACCACAGAGACACCACAGTCAGGCACAATCGATCGACAGAAGATTTATCTTCACCGTAAGACGAGCGAGCTCACAGCGTCATTTTTTAAATAAAGTAAAATGATAATAATTAAGCTTGCACATAACAATTCATTTTTCAATATTTCATGGGTATTGCTGAACATAGAGAGCACAGTTTGCCAAGTTGAGATTTCCTTTTTTGGGAAAGCACACCTGACAGATAAAGCTGATTCTGACTCTGAAGAGAAAACTCATTTAGATAAACACAATCATCAGTCAGGATTTACTTTGTTTAGTTTGTTTGTTCGTTGTTGTTGCTTCGTTGTAATTTCCTGTTTTATTTTGTCATTTGCATCCTTGTTCATCTGTGTCCCCTGTGTGTTTTTCTGTTAATAATCCTCGTGTTAGTTTTCACTGTTATAGCAGAGAGAATCACTCCCATGATTCCCGCCAGCCTCAAAGTCATCTTTTTCTCATTGTTTTGATTGAGAGCCCCCTGGTGGTGGTAATTCTGTGCGTTTAAACGTAGACGTCCATCCTTCAGAGCAGGTTGTATTTTATTTATTTTATTTATTTAATGTTCATGAACAAGAAAATAGCATAAAGAAAGTTCTTGAAAATAAGTAATTGTACATTTATCTGTTGTTCTCCAACAGCTGTATCATTTTCATAAATTTTCATTATAAATAAACACGGCTGACCTCATTAGCGCAGGCAGTGTCGCTGAAACCCGCGCCCTCGATGTGGACGACCTGGTGGTACGTCCCCTGGTTGGGGGAGATGGAGGTCACTGTCGGGGTGGCGCAGGCGGTGGAGCTGAATGAAATGATGTCTGAAGTGTTGGTGTTCTGTTGGCACTGCGTGGAGGCGACGCACTGCTGGACTGCTGTGGAGCCACTGTTAGAACCTGAAGGAGAGATGATTGAATCCACTGATTATTTGTTAACTTCAGAGCTCAGCTGGTCGTTGATTGGATGATGTGCTTTTATCCTGCTGATGTAAAAACATCCACACTATCCAGACTATCCACTTACCTCCTCTAACGTGTTCGGCCTCAACGCCTCCAGTCATGACGGAGACCTTTCTGCTCTTTCCCTCACAAGCCTTGACTTTCACGACCCCCTGCAGGGTCCTGTATTTTTTGACATCGATGTAGCCACTGCTGTAGTAGTAATCGCCAGGCGAGGTGAAGCGGTAACTGAAAAACCCTGAGGGGGGGGGGGGGAAGCAGTGTGAAATGCAGCATACACATCAAATCACATGTTGATCATTTATCTCTCACACTCAACGAAAGGTTTGACACTTCACATCACATTCCTCGTGTGTCACTTCTCACATATTGTCGTCGAGGTGAGATCGTGTTGAAACATATCAAGTGAAGCAGCGGAAAAAAATCATCGATGAGGAATAGGGAGTCATTTAATTACAGGTAGTAGAAAAGTGTGAATATGGACTATGATGTAACACAAGAAGGAATCAGCTGCAGTTAAAACTTTACGTTTGTTAGCAGTTGTATTTCTCTCACCGTTTATGCATACCATTTAAAATCAAGCACATTAAAACCTTAAAGTTATCCTATTATGCTGAGGCTGATTTTAAAAACTCACACATAGTGTCACAAAGCTGGACGTCCAAACTAAACGTGGGCAAAGTTTCAGATCATGAGTTAAATGTACGTTGGAGGGATCCCAGGATAAGTCTGCAGGGGGGGGGGCGCTAAACGGCTTATTCTGCAAATCATGCTGTAATTCCCTGATATGAAACCAAGAATTTCACGAGACAGCTTCAGGCTTAATTATTTTACGTAACCTGAGAGCGCTCTATGAACAGCTCAGGTCCTTGTTCTATGTTTTTTTTTTACCATGACTGTGTGCACACTTTTATCTTGTGGTGTAAAGAACTTTGTAGCTGTGCTTTCAGAGGTGATATATACATAAATATATTGCTATTATTATCATTATCAAGCCTTAAGCTATAAGCTGTTGAAACCTCTTTCAACTCTCTGAGCTCTCTTCTCCCAGCACTGGAGAGCAGCCCTCCCCTGGCAGCCCTGCAGCGTTCTGCCCCCCCTAAGAAAGGCTCCCAGAGAGCTGGCCAATCAGAAGAAAGTGGGCACGTGGGGAAGAGACAGCAGGTGAAACAAACTGCTTCAGGTTGAAAGGAGGGTTTTATTGACGCCACCATGAAAGGTGAACATGAGTAAATCTTGCGTATGTTCTTAAAGACATTTCACTTTATCATTCATTTCTAGAAGAAGAAACAGAAGAACCTGCGTCGCCCCACAACACTAACCATCACAGACTGATGTGATCTGAGAGAGTAAGCGAGAGGTATCGTGACTCAGTGTTCTACCTGTTGTCGTCTGGTCTCCGCTGTTGAATGGTCCGTTCTCGTAGGTGGCGCCCCCTGGTGCCGTCACACTGAACACACTGTAGCCGACTTTCTGGAAGGCCGGAGCTTCCCAACGCCACTTTACTGTGTCTCCAACGCACACTGTCAGAGAGGTGGGGTCCCATGCATACCCCTGCCCATGAGCTGGACCACACAGAAAAGTTATCAAAGGGTCAGAGGGAAATCAGTCCTCAAGGGTAAGCAACAAGTTTAAAAAACATCTAAAGTAAATAATGATAATTATGGAAATGGTCTCAGTCACTTCCTTGTAGTGTTGTGGTCAAGACCAAGACCAAGACATACCCAAGACCAGACCAAGACATTTAGGGATCGAGACTGAGACAAGACCAAGACCATAAATACCAGCGATAAATCCTCATCTTATGTGCAGCGGGGGCATCACTAATTTATACCGTAACACTGAGAACTACAAATAAACTGAAGTTATCCATGTTTTAGAAAAGGTTTGCTTTCCTCCTAATCACAGTAATGATGTGGAAAAATAGCCAATCAGTGGTGGTCTTGTTTGGTCTTGATTTAAAAGCCGGAGTCTGTCCAGTCTGGAGACCGGTCTTGTGAGTACTTCAACCCTTCTTCCTTGCTCGCAGTAGTTTTCAGTGATGCAGTTCTTCTCCAGCTGGACTGTATTTAATCTACTCAGGTTCATTTTTTAATCTGCAAAAAGGACTGAAATGTAAACGTACTGTGGTGTGTGCCCTGGTTGGTGACCATGTGGGTCTTCTCCGTCGACTTCAGCTCACACTGCAGCTCATTGTCTGACGCTGCCGTCACTTCACACTCAGCTTCTCCTGTTGATCCCAAAACCAGAACAAAACATGAGAGACCACAAACACAACCCAGAGGAGGACGAAGTAAAGGAGTAGTTCTTTTTAACTTTAGAAAACGAACTCTATCATCAAACTGTTCTATCATCTGCTCAGATATCTTTACCCAGCTAGTGTTATCAGGTATCCATCACTTTAGCTTAGCTGTTTATAAACAATGGCCGAATTAATGAAAGTGTCTTTCCATTACTTCAGCGAAATAATTCAAATAGTTCTTTAATTCTTGAGCTGTTCCTAAAAAATAAATAAATCCATCACTTAGTTTTTTAATCTCTAAAAACTCACCGCTTCAACATCGTCTGAAAACGACTCACAAACAGTTGTTTTCACAGTTTTATTTGATTGTTGTTCTTTGTGTAGCTTCTGGGAGTACTCAGATAAGCGCTTAAAAACTACTTCTGCTACTTCAACTCAATAACTGTAGCTGCTATGTTTTTCAATTTTATACCCATTATTTTAAAGTATTAAAACCAGTTATTCATTATCAACCAGTTCAACGACACATTCGGCAAACTAGGGGTGCGGCCTCAAATCATTTTAGGATAGATTGTTGACGGGAGTCGTTGCCGTGGTGATGCTCTTGTTTGCAGTCGCTTGGCCTCTCGTTGCTTACCGACAGAGACGTGGTTGTCGAGGGTGTTGTTGCTGAAACCAGATCCAGAGACGGTCAGCCTGGTTCCTCCGAACAAAGAGCCAAACCTCGGGGAGACGTCGTGAATTTCCAGGATGTATTTAATGTCGGTGCTCACTCCGCTGCGATGAAATGAAAAAGCAAACAATGACATTAAAAACTGAATGAACCGCGTTTCAAGTTTCTTTAATTGGAGCTTTGACATAATTAACTTTTGTTACGTGACCCATTATTTATGCACAAAAACAACATATTGGTTTTCTTTCCTCTCTTAAGATAGTTTGATTTGTCGTCTGTTAGTGTCCGCTCTTTAAGCTGAATGTTGAAATGATTGTCGTCTAAAGAAATAAAGAGAGAAGACATTTTGCACAACACGTCTAAAGCTGTGATAAAAATGCAAAAAAAAAAAGCTTTTGAAACGCTTCAATCACAGCTGGCGACATAATCAGCACGCTTTCATCTGGTGCGTATCAGATGGAGCGTTGACAAGAGGAAATATTTCTCCGGATCTCTCAATGGAGCGTCACCTTGTCTGTGGGTAGCCGTTGTTGCCGACCTGCACGTGCACCTCGTACACACCGGGTGGCAGCACGGGGAGCGTACACTGGATGTTGGTCGCTGTCCATTGCACTATCATGCACCTCTTGGCACCGACTAACACCACGCTGTCGTTGTCTCGTCCTCCCAGGTTTGAACCAGTGACGGTAAGAACTTGTTCTCCTAAACAAAAACAAAAAGACAAAAAAAGATTCCTGTCAGTCAAGCGCCAAGATAATTAACACTTGTCACCTCGTTAATGCCGCTTCACTCTGAATTGGTGCCACTGATTGTCCTGCAGATTAAAAGCTATTCTCATTGTTCATTGCTCATACTATAATTATGAGATTCTGAAAGTTTAGCTGGCGTGAAGGACAAAAACAGAAAAAACCTGAAAGTTGACATTACAGGACACTGGAACAGAACCGAAGAGGTTTCCACACATTCCTCCCACAGCTCAGGGTGACAGCGGAGTCGCATGTCAACGGTGAACAGAAAGGCCAAAATAATGACAGCAATCTCCTCGTCCTCCCGTCTGACACTTGTAATTACACTGATGTATATTACTGTCCGTCAACAGTCAGAGCGGCACTCAGTCACAAATGATCTGTCAGTCAGGTTGTTTGTAAAAACGCTGTAACAGTACAGGAATCTGTGATGGGAAACTTTGAGACACATAAATGTTCGTTTTCACACGTGAGGCTTTGTTTTTTATCTTCATGTGCTCGTGTGAAAGCTTAGTTTCCACCTAAAGGCTTTTGCACGCTGAGTCAGTTTTTTCCGTCTGAAAATTGCCGCTTACCATACTGACAGCCGCTGTTCAAGATCAACTGCTTCATGGAAATAGGTGGTCTTCATTTTAATGTGTGGTTCCAGTATAGCTAGCAGTGTTTCAAACTGGATCACTGACATTGGTACTAGTCATCATCCAGGCCTTTTTATTTCCTCCCGCCTTGATTATTGTAATTCATTACACACCTGTGTCAGCAGCCCGGCTTTTAACAAGAACCAACACATCTAAATGTTATTAAATGTTGTGAATACTTAACTCACCGGTCACATATGCCGTGTTGGGACTCATGCTTGAGATCTGCGGGGTGAGGTCACTATCATATGTGAAAGAGCTGTTGGCAGTCAGACTCATGTTTCCAACCATCACCATGACCGCCTCAGATCCTGCAGATCCCTGATACAACAGACATCAGCATTCATACATCATTAATAATAATAATAACAGACATGAAACAACATTTTCCCTTCAAATGAAAAAGTAGAATTATTGTTGAAGTGACATGAGATACAAAATATTAGATACATTTCACATCAATTTTGGCGCCCCCTGTGGACAAAGCATTACGTCTTATATTTGTTGATTCGGTCCTTTACATGCGCGACAAGTGTTCACTGTAGAAAAAAAAATCATGGTGCTTTCTTTAAATGTCAAACATGCTAACTCTGTGAACCTTTGCCAGGGAAAATCCAAACAAAGGCTCCTTCGGTGTGCATGCTATAAATAACTTTGACCCGGTGACAGCGGTGACAGCGGTGACAGGCATTAAGGATAATTATATGGAAATATTCAGTTTCCTGACTTATGGCCTGGTATGCTCCTGCAGGACAAGTAGAGGCAAATATAACATAAAGAGACTTCTCACTAGTCTCAGAGCAAAGCCAGCAAGATGCTTCAGAAAAGTCATACAAGTGGTGGTCGTCACATCGGAAATGCTGACTCTATCTAACTTTCAATCAGTGTCATAACCAAGCGACAACCTGCGGGCTTGAAAAATGAAGCCAATGTGGAAGTGCAAAATCCTGCACCCTAGAAGTCATACATACACACCACAGCAAAAAAGAGCAAGAGGCAGATGAATCATAACCCATTATATACACTGTGAACCATCGTTTTTGAACCAGGATGTAAGCATGTTCATTTCTTAGGGCTCTGACGAGGATTTCTTGGCTTTTGCAGCCCGCCTCAAGTGGACACTTAAAGGAACTTCCACATCATCTTTGTTTTTAACACCAGAGGTCGCTGTTTGGTCTTTATACTTACCGCTGGAGTTCTGCACTTCAGCTCAGTGTCACCGGCGTTTACGACGGTGCACTCCTTTCCACCGACAGTAACTGTGGAGTCCTGGCTGAAGCCGTAACCTGTCACTGTCAGCAGGGTGCCTCCTTGGAAAACAACAGATTGAAAACGATGGTCAAACTCTGTGATATCATCTTCAGAGTCAGAATTTGCTAAATTGGGCTGCATTGATATTTTTGCATAACGTCTTACCTGCCAGACTTCCAGAGAGCGGCGAGAAAGAGGAAACGCTGGCCAGGTAGGTGAAGTAGAACATTTTGCCATCAGGGGAGCTCGTGTTACCCAGAGACGGGAAGCTGACGGACACCCGGTAGGTACCAGCGCCCAAGCTGCCGAGCCTGCACACCTGAGTGGTGTCTGATTTATGACAGTGAAAAAGATCAGGTTACACTTCTTCACCTCAATAACAAACAGCTGGCTCAATTCAACAACATATAGTATTCAGTCTCCAGACATATCTCACAGACCTGTGATCTGTTCAACGTGGCATCTGGCGTTTCCCACAAAGATGTCGGCATGTTCGTCACTGAAGCCGGTCCCGGTGACCGTCAGAAGAGTCCCCAGGCCATTCGATCCTGGAGGTAGCAACACTTCATTTAAGTACGACATAATTATTGAAAAACAAGAGAAAACGTAGCAACACTAAAAATGTAAAATCTTTCACAATAAAAGGTCAAGCGATGTCTAAAAGTGATTGGCGCTGTACTCATTTTGAGATTGTTCTCTCTTTTTTTTTGAAGGTTTATTTTGGGGCTTTTTATGAAAAAAAATGAAAAAAAAGTGTCAAAATCCACCAGTCACAGTGGTATGCAGAAATGTTGATTTCCAGCACTGGTACGCACGCACCAACCATTAGGCTACTGGCACTCTGAAATGTCTTATTTTACTTTTTTTAACTTTTTCCTCGGGTTTCTTTTGCTTTAGAACTATAAGTGGTTGTAAAAATAATGTTTTCAAATGTAATAAAAATGTAATAATTCTTCATGTGAGCAGAAAAAAAACCATTAACCGAGGACGGCACCTTGAGTCGGGCTGATTCCAGTCAAAACCGGAGTCTTCTCCACTGAATACTCGAACCCACAGTCCCCAGAACACATCGAGATGATGTCATTGATGAGGACCAAAACCTGCAAACAACATCCACACACACACAAAAAAAAAAAAAACCCATTCAAGGTGTTTGAACGATAAAGAAAGACAACAGTTTGATAAATGAGGTCAGTACTGTAGCTGTCACTAAAACACAGAATGCAGAGGAATTATTTAGTAGCGTGCAAACATTATAATCTAATCCTGCCTGGAGGCGTTAAATAGATGAATACAGCCACACAATGCAGAGGCAGACAAAAATAGGATTGGCTCTCCAGGATATGTACGAAGCAAACAGGAAAGCAGACATAAGACAGACACAATGATGGTGGAACCCAACCCCGATGTACCCTGAGGGTTCAGGAATCTCTGATATACCGAACCTGTGTTTTGGGTTCCGGGACACGAAGCAAGTCTGCTGGCAGGCTACGCATCCTCACACCTCCTCTTGTCCTCTCACGGACAAAAACGCTTGGCTTGTTGCCGACAACCATCGAGTCGTTCACCTGTCGTTGAGATAAATCACCGTCAGGTTTCAGAACTGAGCTGCTGTTGAAGCGTTGATGGTTGGAACAGAAGGTGAAAACAGTACGAGTGAATACTGACAATGAAACGTCTTCCAACACCTCGCTAATGATACTGTCACTGCTGCAGCTACTTTCAGATGATTAGAGATTCATCCCCCAACTCTCAAACAAATATTCATCAAAAACTTGAATTCATTGAATAAAATAGTTTAACATTTTTTAGATATCATTGCACGTTGAATCTTAAAGTTTTTAAATGTCTGATGATTTTTGTTGCCCTTGTCAGCACTCTAAGTTTTAGATGAATAAAGCTGCCTTGCTTTCACTTACAAAATTGAATCAAAACAATAATTGTTCAGTAAGAAGCGGAGTCTGACCTTTATCAGAGGCTGGTTTCCAGGGTTTGTGAGCCACTTCACCCACCAGTGCGGTCTCCTGCAGTTTCCCCGCTGACGGACGTCGACCTGACCCATCCCTGCGATCCCCTGCAGAGCGTACATCATGTCCTTCTCGCTGATGTCCACCGACAGACCTGAAGACAAGCATTGGTTGGGTTATAAACGCAATGAAAAACAGGGCTGGAGGTTAAAGGATTACTCCAAGTTGTGACTGCATGTTCATTTTACACTGTGTGCAGTAGTTTGCCTGCATTTATTAATAATTTAAAAAGTGCTGAGGACTCTTGTCGGTGAATGTGTGTCCAGCGGGATACTGAGACTCTGTGGTCAGCGACTTCAGAGCACCAGATTCTTCATGCCTGCAGAGCTGATTACTTCATAAAGTCATTGTTCACTATTATTGACAGACCCAACAAAATTCTCTAAAAACAATCTAGTGTGATGTTGTAACTGTAACGACTGTGGGCGGATTTTCCCCACCACAGCACCCCTGGGTTTCCAGACTAGACTCTACAGTCATGGACTTCAAAGGAATATAACATCCAAAGGTGCACAGAGCTGATGACATCATCATTACTAATCTGAGGTCATTTATATATTTTGTATTTTAATGTCTTTTGTTCCGCTCATATTTATACTAAATGAGAAGATTTTAGTTTTTTTTATGTCTCGGCGTTGACACGTTTTCTAAATGCAGGTTTGTTTGTTTATAAAGACTTCACAGCTGAAAGTCACAGAGTTCAAAATCACAAAGACTTTGTCGTCTGCCTGTTTTTGTTTTCTGTACATTATTCATTCATTGCCACAGACAGGAGGAGTGACTGAATGAAGGAGCCTTGGAAAGTGACCAACTCTTCATGCATACCTTTAAAATCAGGTCAGTGTTACTCATCACTACAGATCCCACACTGTCCCATAGGAAGCTGAAAAGGCAGTTACACGACAGATAGCCGTCTTTAGTACCTTCAACAGTCTCGCCATTAAACTCCAAGTCGAAGGAGCCTTTGAGAGGAGGAGTGGCTCTGTGAGTGCGAGTGACAGAGACGGTGGCGGTGGCTGACACATCCTGGAACTCAGCCGTGTCCTCGCTGTTATTAGACATCTAAAAAACAGGAAGAAAATTAGGCATTCATAAAAACAATTCAAAACAAATCTCTTCACAAGAGGCCTAGACTGACATTTTTTGTCATTCTTGAACATATTATATTCTTGATGTGAGCAGAGAGATTCCCAGGGGGCTGGCAGGAAAAACTCAGAGTAAAGTCAGGGAGGAAAAAATGTCTGACTCGCAGCACAGCCTGAAGATTTTGGGTCATTTTCAGGAGTTTTGTGTTAGAAAACAACAATGTAACTTTGTTGTAAATCTGAAATAATGGGATCTATATAAACAACAAAACCAAGCAGAGGTTTTTTTTTGAATAATCATTAAAAGCGACAGCAGGATAAAATGACAGTGGATTAATATCAGATTACTGTCAGCTTTGATTGTATAAATATTACAGCAGACACTCCCTGCAGACATACTTAAACATGTCACTCCTTTAACAGTTCACAGTCTGTTTCCGCTGCCGACCTGTTGTAAAAATAACGTCTGTACAGCATGTCCTTCATGAGATACTGTATACACAGGCTCTTAGTGAAGCCTCTCTGAACTCTAACTTGACGTATGCTGTGTTACATTCCATCTGTTACGCATGAAACCTCTGACAATGTGTCAGGAATAGTAAAAATAAAATCATGTGATATCAACGTTGAGAGAAAATTCTTGCAAAGTGAAAATAACCTCAGAAAACCGAGCTTTCTACTTTTCTAAGGACTGTTCGGGCGTGGCAGATCACAATTTGATCGACATCTTCAGTTGCACTCAACAAATCAATCTTCTGATTCAGAGTCAGAGGAGCAAGCAGACGCTACGGCTTCTGAAAATATTCCTTTAAACTGTCACTGAGTGACGAGTGACAAACCGCTCTGCTGTCTGTAACGCTCCCCCCATGTATACTCTCTATCCCAGTTGGCAAAGTGAGCAGCTCTTTTGTCTACTCTTACTTTTTTGAGTCGTTTTAAAAATAATAAATTTTACTTTGACTAAAGTTTATTTTTGGGTAAGTATTGTACTTTCAAAAAAGGTAAAATAAAGTTTCAGGCTTTTCCGTCCACTGCCTGAAGCTGGCCAGTTGATTGGCTGACGTGTACGACGTGACAGACTGAAAAAACATATAGATCGCAAAGAAGAAAAACATGTCTGCTGATACTCAAACTGCTAAATGGAGATGCACCCAGCTTTATTCAACATCTGGGTGGATGAGGATTCTGCAGGTTTGTCTTTTCTAGAATTTTGAGTCTCATTGTGAAATGTTTTTGTTTCAGGGTATAAGGCTAATTAATAGCTAGGTGCTACCTGTTCACATCACCTTTGGCTCCGCCCCTTTTAACAAACATAAACCTTTAAAACAAAAAAGAATCCAAACTGGACAGACATCACATATCATCACATCTTTTCATTCAGGCTACCACAATAACTTAAATTCATGTAATAAAAAAAAAAAAAGATCACTGCCACTAGACTCTAAAATAACTCTGATGTAGACACTGAATTAATCTCTTATACCTGCATGAAGCCAACTTCCAGCAGTGGGAACCCAAACGCACATTGGTCGGGTCTCGCTTTGATCTCGTAGCTGAGTTTGGGAGCAGTCGAGGCTCCTCTGCTAACAGAAATCACCCCAAAGGTCTGACCCTCGTCCTCAAAGGGAGGAGGTCTCCTCAAGAGGGGAACAACTGTAAGAAAAACAAGCCGGATAAGTGCGAGGCTTTGTATGAGAAACAGGGGGACGGTTTTCCTGTTTTTCAAGAACACTCTGTAGATTAAATCAAATAAATATGCAACCAATCCTCTAAAAACACAAAACCACCTAGCTATGTACCGAATGTATTGCGGGTGGTGGGATTCTTTCCCATGTGAACGGCATCCACGTAGAAATCTGCAGCAGACTCGTCTTTGTAGAGGTTGAACTCCAGCATTTCAAAATTGCTTCCGGTGTATTCTGTCTGCAGGGACGTCTTCAGGTCTAAGCATGTGTAACTCCACCTAGTTAAGAGAATAAACGTTATTTCTACACGCTGCAATTTGTTTCTGAAAAGTTTGAAAATATCCAACAGTTTAAAAAGCCCTTCATGTCTTTCACTGACCCGTCTCCCTTAGCGAACAGAGCGACGATCTTTGCCGTCTCTTTGCTGGTTTGGCCTTGGCTGTTTCTGTAAGTGAACCTCACTCCGACTTCATTCTTCAACGTTCCCTTGTATGCAAAGCAAAGCTGCAAAAACAGGGATGGAAAGATGAAGAATATTTACAGAGACAGTTTCTAATACTTTCATGATCGCATCCATTCGCACTGAAGCAGAGAAAAGCCTTCCAACATATTTTTCAAGACATGGAGCTTTGTTTTTGTTTTTTTAAATAACGAGACGATGTAACGGTTGAATAAAGAAAACAAAAGGTTGATTCCACTTTGAACTTGTGATGTTAATCAGACATCGTGAGTGACACGGCAGCATGCGGAGATGGTGTATTGTGTACAAATGTTCTCCCTCCGTCAGATATAGATCAGTCCTTTTCATTTAAGGTGAAGTCTCGTCAGGGTGAAACGATGCAGGTAAATGCAGCAGACAAATAAAAGAGTCATTCATTCATGATGAGGTATCGCTTCATCTTGAGAAATTTGTCTTTTGTTTGAAAGTGGAAACATCATCATGCACTACCCCTCTGACTGCATGAAGTCATCATGACGCAGCCTAACCGCCAAAGACATAGCACATTTATCTTTTCCTAAACTATTCAATAAAACGTTGTTAACTGTTACAAAAGTTTTTCCTGGTTGAAATGAGTTCATGCAGAGCAGCGTTCCCATGAAAGGGCGGCATTTAACCACATTCAACAAAGAGCAGCGTCATACTTTACAGACTCAGAGTATAAAGAAGTAATGCACATAATCCGGACTCAAGTCATCAAAGTTGCAGCGACAAATGCAGAAAATTAAACAATACAGACTGTGTGGTTGTGGAAATGATATTAAAATGCACAAAATGACAAACAACAGACAAAGTCAAGGTTTCTTTACCGCGGGATACTTGTCCAATGGAACTGCTCCGTACGTGCCACCAGACTCTTTGGAGAAACTGTCCTTGAAGAGGACTCCAGGGTTCTTCAGAGACCACTGGCCACAGAAGCCCATTTTCACCGCAGTCCCCTTCTGGCCACCGTCGTACTGATGAGGAGAAGGAATCAGAAGACTACTGTGAGGATCCTAAATCAGATGGTCGGCTCAATTAAGAGGCACTGGATAGCCTATCCGTTATGACCACATGTACAGAGGCTAAAGTCCTCGTCGCAGCGGCCGTGGGTTTGAATCCAACCTCGACTATTTACTGCATGTCATCCCCAATTTCTCCTCCCAACATTTCCTATCCCCTCTTCAGCTCTCACTTCCAATAAAGTATAAAATGCCCCCCCAATATGAATTAACAATGTACCTACAAGAGCCTTTTAAACTCCTCCACAGTTAGAGAAACTGATCCTACAAACCCAGTCTGGTTTTCTGTCCCCACTGACCTGAGAGTAGTCGTTTTCATAATCCTTGAAGAGCTTCACATCTGTTCCTTCAGTGGTGACAATCTCACCAGGACACTCCGCTTTGATCAGATCCTCCAGAGCTGACTGCACCTGTTCACAAATTCACACAAGGCTTGAGTTCAGTATTGTGAGGATCGATGGGTTCCCTGTGCACAGCCGTGCTCCTCATCCAGGGTGCAGCTAGACCAGGAACAGAAAGAGTAATTCAGCGCACGCCAGAATTGTTCAGATGAACTTTTGAATTTTAACGTTTTTGATGCATTAAACTTTAAAGTCTCAACAATCCCGCTCTGCGCTGGATTACTTTCATCTTGATTTCAGTATTGTTTACACTACTTCTAAAACGCTCGAGCCGCCTGATGTGCAACACCTTCAATCCAGAATCTGTTCAGACAAGAATCAGATACTAAGAAGAAGTCATTGATTCAATCAGGGCTACACAAACCTCGGACTCTGTGGTGTTGTACGGGATGGGTTTTGTAGGGATTCCCCCCCAAAGCAGAGTGAAGGTCTCCATGTTGCTTTTCCCCTTTGTAACCTCATCGACAGTGACGTTAGTGTCAGCGCTGTAAGGCACGGCTTTAAGAAGATCATAATCCCCTGCAATAAATAAAGAACTTTAAAATCACTGTTTTTATGTATTTAAAGTTGATCTGGGAGTCATTTTTGCTGACTCTTCCGTCTCTCCGTACCTCTCACAGAATTGAATGTGACCGTGTAGGAGGAGCCTTGGGTAGCGTCCTGTTTGGTGACCTGGACGGTGTCGGGTTTGATGGAGTAAAGGTCGTTCAGGGCTGCTTCCACCACTCCAGGTGAGGCAGTGACGGGGATAGGTCCTAAAGCACAGACAAAGAATGGATACATTCATATGGTCTGCTCAGAATAGAGGATAAAAAAAAGAAAACAGAAGATAATAAAGAGGGGGTAACATATGTTTCGTAGTGGGTCATCAGACGGCACCAGGGGTATCGAGGCATCAGGTAGTTGAAGGCACATCCCAGGCAGCAGAGTAGGAAGCGTTTTTGTTTTTTTGCTTTTACATAATTTATTTTCACACCACATTACCAGTCTTTGCCTCTCCATAGCCGAGGCTGAAGAAGGTGCCTGAACATTGATGGCTGGCACAGCTGCTGTTGACGGTGACCTTCTGGACCTCTTTGACTGCGGAAACGTCCTCTGACCAGAGTCCAAAGGTAACAACCTGGATAAGAGCGAGAAAGATCAAGAGGTGATAAAACAGCAGTGAGATGTCGGTGTTTTTTTTATTTCCTGCGTTCACCAAAATGACAGTAAACACTTGTGTTGATAAGGATAACTGTGTAACTTCTACAGCTACACATCCAGCACTACATTACATCCTTTTCTAGCTTTATTGCTGAGACTAAAACCATCATCTCTACCTCCAAAAAGATAAAACTGGAAACAACAAAAAGCCAAAAAGAGAGCTTGCTGCTAGCGTAATTATTAGAAGACTGCAGTGACTTCCCTGAAGAGCCTTCATTTTTACCCCAGTTCAGAGCTGTATGATAAACTAAGCTAAAATAAGCTAAGCTAGAAATTGTCTGTTTAGCTTCACTTTTAGCACAGAGAACTGAAAGGAAGGGATTCCCAAAATGTCAAACCTCTTCTATGAGTTGGAGGAAGGTCAAATAATCTATGATTAATGGATTAAAGCTACGGGTAAATCAGCATGTGAACAAAACCATACCTGTTCCTCATCGAACACTTCCTGTTCAGCAATAATGCTCTGAACCTCATTCACAGCATCATTTGTCTGGTCTTCTGTAAAGGGGCTATTATCATAGTACAGGCCCATTTTGATATAAGCGTGATGGCCATATTCCTGATGCACAAGGTCAATGTGGTAACTAAATAAAAAAAAAAAAGAAGAGTCTCAGTTTGTAGCTGTAGGGAATGCAGAATGCTGTGATTGAATGACTTGGAGTTGTACAGGATTGAATTAGAAGCAGAGTTGTGTGTTTACTTACTAATTTCCTTCCTCCAGATACACCCAGTCAGACGTTTGGGAATTAAACAGGCTGTGGGTAAAATATGGTTTGGAGGAGACCTTCACCTGAAATGGAGGGATGTGATCGAAGGCAATTTAAAAGCAGAAATAAAAATGCATAGGATATATTCTCTTTGGTTATTTGTGAGTCAAATGTAAACAGCCTGATTCACAGAAGTGGATGAGCTTCGAGGTGGTTTGTACCTTATCTTCAGGACTGCTGGTGTTGCTGAGGTGGAGCTCACATTTGTCGTCGCAGTTGATGAAGAACTTGTAGTTGCCGCTGAACTTGGGGGCGATGAAGCCACTGATCCGTGTGGTGAAAAAATCCCAACCACGATTAAAGTCAACGGGGAATTCCTTGAGCCATTTGCTCTGGTATCCTGGTGTGTGCTCGTCGTATGTGAAGATCTCGTCCATGGACTTGGGCTTTGAGTTGTTCCACGTTTCCATCTTTAAGCCTCTTCCACCTTTCGGATTCAAATGGAAGTTAAAGATGACGTGTAAAAATGAGGGCTGAAATTATCTAGTTAAATTAGTCTAGTGGAAGAGCGTTATGTTTGTTGTTGTTGTTGTTGAAATTACAGGCCAGTTTCCAGCTGCTCAGGGGTCAGAATTCACTCCCTTTTCTAAAGCCGTTTTCACATATGCACTCGTGAAAATATCGAGATAATTTCAGCAGGAATTCTCTGCATCGGACATTCACCTGACCTGATTGTTCACACATGCAATTCAAAGCAGGAGATTACCCCTGTCATACTTTACATTCAAATAAACACCCTTAAATCAAATTAGATTTTCAGGCTTTTTTTTTCACTTTGATTCTGCATAAAAAAAGCTCTGTATCTGTCGTAGTGATCGGCTTTGGGAAAGGTTGTTTGTGTGCGACATAAGATCACAAATATGTGCCTTTTGTCAATCAGATAATATTCAACCATGTCACAGAACGCTTCACATCAAAGTCCCTGCGTCCTGACAGGTGATGGGATGAATCCGTCATCTTTGTTGTTAAGTAAGAAGGATGCTTTAAATTCTTGCCGTGATCAAGATGTACGCTGATGTGAACTCGTCGTGCAGATACCGACACGGCTCCAAATAAAGCACCAGGATAGATCAGGATATGCTTTGGTTGCAGCGGACAAAAGGAGAGAAAAGAGTAGAGGCGTATTCTATTCTTACCCGGGAACACTGTCATATTGTTGTTCATCTCATGCATGGCCGTTCTGCACGTTATTCTGTCATCGGACACACTCTGGATGTCACATGGCAGGCCTGAGGGGAAAAAAACACACACACATCTTAGCTCACAATGATAACCTTTCACTGATTCAGAAACACAAAAGGGAATAATGTACTCATCATGTCATCTCTGAGACTCGTAAATCCAGCTGACATGAAGAGGCATTTATAAACGACTCAATTTGCATTTTTGAGGTGATTTGTTTAGTCAAATGCGACTCTGCTGATAAAACAATCACATGGTTGCATTTCTCTGTCTTCAGGTATTTTAAATTTAAATGTCAAAACTTCAGATTGGATTGTCTTGTTATTTGGAGAAAAAAAGATAGAACTCGAAAAAGAAAAACAATCCTGGTGCCGTCCCTGATCAAAGGTTTGCGCTGCCTGATGGGGTCTGTTGTGAAATCGAAAAGGAGCTACTACAGTAGATGATCACATTCATGATGTATTGTTGTTCTAAAAATCTATACTTCAGTACACAGCTGTGTGAAATACTTAAAACTCTGAGATTCAAGGTCTGCCTCAAGCGTAGACTGTAGTATCTCGTAACGTGTCTCTCAGCTTTTTCTTTGAAATCCATTAAAAAATGAAATAATCTCCCGACTAATCTGAAACTTTGCACAAACTTCCACACTTTCTACCATGAAGTCAAAAAAAATAGTTTTAAATAACTAGGGTTGTCAGCATTAAATCGTCTGCTCTGCAACTTTTTACAACTCAGGGAAACTTGTAGATAATGTTTCAATATCTGTATATTGTTCTGTGTTCTTCTTCTCTCACAGGATATGAGTGTGTGCGTGTGTGTGTTCATGACTGGTTGATCTGTATTTTACTTTTTCTATCAACTGCCCAGACACAACAGATGGAAACTAAATAGTTAGCTAAATCTGGTACAAAGTATTTTTTCTCGTCTGAGGCTGAGACTGATGTTTTTTTGCATATTGTCCCTGATTCAAAACTAAATTTGCCTGTTAAGCAAATCAATGGCGTGCCATCTCTCACTAGCACACCATTTATAAACTGTTTAAAAAGTCAAGAACAACAAAGGAGGAACAAACTGTTACTATGGAGAGAAGACAAACTTTCTTATTCTAATAATTATAACATGATGAAGACTAAGGTGAGGCCTGTTCCGTCTTAGCAGTGTGAGATAGCGTCTTTTAGGATTTAGTGCTATCTAAATAAAAATGTCTCAGCTGAACTTGACTTCACTGTTAATGGTGCAGTGACTCAAAGTTTCAAACATGTGAAATGACCTGTGGAGTCTCATGTAAGACAGCAGCTTGTTCTTTTCATGGTCTGCGTTACCTCTAAGCATTCAGAAATTCTTTCTCTTCCCCCGCGTGACAACTCTTGAGTTTTCTTTTGTTTGTTGGGTCTTAAAGTTACACACATTCTTCAGCTTTGAAAAAAAAAAAGGATTAACACCCTTCGCGTGACTCGAGGCCCCCGACAATGAGTTCTGTTTTGTTTTGGAGACGGACTACACACGTCTATTGGTGCTGAACAGTTAGCCTGGGAACAAGACAAATTATCAACACAGACACCTCCATCTTACCTGACTTCAGGGAATTACGACCCTTAAATCAATTTGCTTACCTCCAACAAGAACACGTGCTGGTGCGTCCGTTTCATCAAAGAAGTGGCCATGAACGGTCAACAGCGTCCCTCCCATGATGCTCCCATTTTTGGGGGAGATTCCGGTCACCTCTAAAGAAGACATACACACACATTTCACCATTAAAATAATGTATAGAAAACAGGAAGTACTACTGAAAGCTGACACAGGTGAACAAACGTCTCTGTGTCTGACGTACCTGCATAGCTCTGGAACATGGCGAGTCTGTTCGATCCCCAGAGCACCATCTGGTCCTTTTTTATTGTAGACCTCAAATTGGAAAGAGATGGTTTCATATTATTACATGTGTTCATATGAAAAACATGTGTTCAAATAATGGGCTCTTTCTATTTAATTCTGTGTGTGTTGTTTGTGTACTTGTTGCGTAGTGTGATTGTATTGTCTGTATTGCTTGTTGTGTTGTGTGGGATTAATAAAGTTTCCTATTCAAGTCTATTTCACTTGATCCGCCCGCCCCATCAAAGGGGGCATGATGCCATGTGAAACAATGGAGGTGTTTGTGTGCAAATGTTTAACTGAAGTTGCTGAAGTGGTTTGAGGTGTTGGAACAATGCTTTACCTTCCCATGGTGAGAATGTAAGTCAAGTTTTGATGCCCTGTTGGAAAGACAACACATTTATTAAGACCGCTCACACTCTTTTTATATTTATGTCTATCTGTTCCTCTGTCCATCCATCCATCCGTCCGTTCATCCATCCTTCCACCTATCAATCTATCCATCTTTCCAGTCATCTATCCATTTATCCATCAATACATTTATGAATTTATCCATCTATCCATCCATCCATCCATCCAATCTATCCATCCAACCAATAATCCATCATCCATTTATTCATCCATCCATCTATCTATCCATCCAACCAATCCGCCCATTTATCCATCCATCCATTTATCTATCCATCCATCCACCCACCCACCCATTTATCCATCTATCCATCCATTTATCCAACCAACCATCCATCCACCCATCCATCCAATCAACCATCCATTGATCATCCATCCATCTATCCATCCAACCAACCATCCATTGATCCATCCATCCATCTATCTATCCATCCAACCATCCATCCACCCACCCACCCACCCATCCATCGATAGATGTATATATAGAGAGGTATGGAAGCAGACTTACCAACATACGTCCCTGTCACTCTGCAGCTCATTTCGCCCCACAGGGAATTCTCGGTATTCAGTCGCAGGTGATATCTTAAAAAGGGTGAGTGGAAACAAATGTTTCAATGCTGCGCCAACAGATTTTTTTATTTGTATAATGACATGTTCTTTACTTACAGATCATCTGAGTTTGGTTTTAACAGGTCGCATGGTTGTCCTCCCATGTAGACTCTGCAAGAATCCACAAAGATCAGACTCAAAGCTTTACCACGAGGGGTGAAAGTTTAAAAGGACATGTCGTGTTCATGGTTCTTTCCTTTAGCCTTTATTAAAGACGATGAGGCGATATCCTCATTCAAAAGTCAGACATGTCCACATATTATCAAAACTATGCTTAAACGCTGGTTGGAGGCAGGATGTGCTACAGAAACATCAACATCATGGGATGCTTTTAGTACCTCAGGAATCTTTCATTCCGGCCGTTTGAGCTCAGCCTTGTGTTACTACCAAACACGTCGGTGAAGATCAGGCCTGACATATTCACCAGGGAGCCTGCAGAGATTTCAACATGGGGTTAATGGAAAGCTGAGAATAGTCACAGAGAAACCTGCATGCTGCATGCTGTCGGAGGACTGAACAGTACCTGGGTGACCACTCTTTGGAGTCATGACGTTGACGGAAGGTGTGGTGTACCAGACGACCTGAGAGTAATCGTTAAGAAAGGAAACAGTCTGTTAGCTTACCGATCCAAACTTGACCGGATTCAATCACTTACGAGTGAAGGCCTCTGCTTGACATGAGCAGCATACTTACAGTGAAGCCGCACCAGTATGAGTTGGGAGAACCATAGCATAGTTTGTTGTCAGGAACTGGTTTGCCATTCACAGTGACACGGACATAATATCTATCGTTTGGTAAGGGTCTGAAATGACACATTTGAAAAGCAAATAAATCACACTGAATAGTGACTTGTGTACTAAATTCAATAAAGAGCCCCTTTGGTCTGTAGGCTACCTGGTGTAACACATGATCTGGTTTCTGTGCGTCGAGTCTCTCTCCACATCGCAGATGACCGACATTTTGTCAGACACCAATGTCACTCTGTTGCCTGACTCTTCGTTCGGATTCAACTGGACCTGATTTGCCACGGCAAAATCTGGAAAACAATGAAATAAATCAGGACAACTTTTACAGCAAAACATCAGATGATTTTCCTTGACGAATCAGTTTGACAGAAAACAAGAATAATGCTTTGAAGGATGTAATTTCCAGTTCCAGTTCCTCACCGGCTCCATGAATGGTTATTTTTGTCGCTCCCATAGAACTTCCAGAATGTGGAGTTATGTAGTCAACACGCTGAGCACCTGAAATACATTTTAAAGAAACACAAGAAGAGAGATTTGGTTGACAATAATATCAGTTTGAACTGAATATGCTGCTAATGAATCTCAGATGACGTCTAAGTTATTGTTTGTGACGCAAACTGCCATTAAGTGCTCACTTTGATAGCTTGAAATTAAAAATTCAAAGGAGAATAAATATGCATGTCTGACGTGTCGGACATTTTGAAAGCGATGCACTTTATATTTGCATCTGTATAACATAACACTAGTATTGTTGGCGTAATAAGATTGAAAAATGCCGCACAGAGACTAAGTGATGTCTGTACCTGTGACTCGCTTGTATCAAAAATTCAAAGTCCAGATATGTTATCCAAAATAGTGAAAATACAAATTCTAAACAAAAGTCCAAAAGATGACGATGATTACGGTGATGATGATAAAGATGACGATGGCGGTCAACAGAAAATATTTCAAACCCCCTCACCCTCTTATTCTAGCCGCCCGCCACCCCAATGCACAGGTAAAAATAAGGTAAACCACGCCCACCTGAAATCACCGGGAATAATATAAAACCCATATAAGGAGCAAAATATAACAAATCATCAACCGAGGTAAAAACACACATTATGGCTCCTACGACGGGATAAGTACACTTTAAGAGAGACTCGATTGGCTCTGCGAAAAGGTGGGAAAAATATGTGCATGTGTCAAATCTGTACAGACAATCAGCCATGTTGGATCGGATAATATCGACATTTCAGATATCGTAAAGAAATGTAACACTGTGCATCTTTACAAGGGCTGGTGTAGGTAATAAATACGGCTATTTCCACATTTTAAAACAGTCAAATGTAGGATTCAAACATTGCAGATATTTACAAAACTTTTTGTAGTTTTTTTTAAAATGTCGACTTACTGCAGCAGCAGAGTGTGAGGAGGAGAACCACCAGCTTCAGCGGGGACTCCATCCTTGAGATTTCCCAGATTTCCCTGCTGTCTCACCTGCAGCCTGATGTGATCAACCGTCTGAGTGATGGGAAACTGAAAAAATAATCTTACACAGAAAGTGCAGTTTAGAAATACAGTCCTTAAAAGATTTATTTTAAAGTCCACAATTGAGCGTAAAATGCTTCACAGGATGGTGATAAACAGGAAGACACAGAACAACACTTCACCAGCATAATTAAATAAAAAATATTAAGTGATAAAATGTATAATTATCCCCAAAATCTGCACCACTACATGAACAGCTTGTGTGATTCTTTAGTGAAAGCTCACCTGTTGAAAACGCTATTCTCCTGTTGAATGTCTCAGGTGTCAGAGAGAGAGACTCTACCTGTGCGCAGGGTTGCTCACTCTCTTTATACCTCTCACCTGTTGGTGGGGGGAGGGGACAACCTAATCTGATATCTACACAATTATTCACCACAACACACTTCTTTTTGTTTTTGTTCCGATGTCCTGTCACAGGGTGAAACCTGGCCAGAAAAGACGTGATGAGTGACAGCTTCATGGGTGGGAATCTGATTCATGACTATTGTGATGGAAGTGAAGAGGAAGTTATGAAACAGTCACTGCCACATGGAGAAAGACATCAACATTCAAACAGGATTCTTACTATTAAACTGATATCTTACAGCTTTTAAATGCATACAGGATTTGAGTTCAGTGGATATTTCTTACTGAGAATACAGAAAATGATCATTAAGAAAAGTTAGTATTTATCACGCTGAATTTTGTCCAGAGCCGAAAAAAAAGTAAAAGAACATCCCTTGGAATAAAATGATAACGCCTAATCTTGAATCATGGTAAAGGTCATCTAAGGATTTTCATTTTGGGTGCCGGGTTAGTGCGTGCAACCCATGTACAGTCCGGAGGCCATGGTTTTCCAAGCAGGCGGCCCGGGTTTGAATCCGCTCTGCAGCTCCTTTCCTGCATGTCGTTCCCCGCTCTCTCTCTCTCAACGATTTCTGACTTATCCATTGTCTTAGCTCTAATTAAAGGCATAAAAAGCCCAAAAATAAACCTTTAAAAGGATTCATATTAAGTGTTTTGTTTCCTCTGATGGTGACCCAACAATGTGCAAACAAATGACTTGCATAATTTCCAAAAATAATTAAATTGTTTCTTGGATATCTCTTAATTTCATGGTTCTCCTTTGAATGTAGACCTTTGTGAGACACTTTAAGTACAGCTTGTTCGTATCTTAAATGCCTTTCCTATAAGCAGAAACACAAAATGAAAAATACAACACATAGGAAATAAGTGCTGCGCCAACATGAACATTTTTCTTGGCCGACTTCTCCTCCGCTCGGAACAATATGTCGAAATCCAACACCCCAGACGTAGACTAAATATCTCCTTTGTGAAGCAGGAGTGTAATGAATCATCAGTGTTTAGATTGGGTTGTCAATGTCGTTATGTCGCCATGTGTCGCTGCTTCATGCCACTCAAAGACAAATGGAGGTCACCCTCTGAAAGCATGAACACGTCTACAGGTGTAATCTAACAAGAAAATGAGTTTTTTTTAAATGTGATAAGTTCAACCTGCTGGTTTGAAGTGGTTACAAAAGAGTCTCAATTAAATACAGATCCTTCAATATGAACTATATAAGCGAACCAGCCAATCAGCTACAAGATTGACAATTTCTAAAGTCATTTTTTGACTTTCGGGTCTAACACCGCTGACTTGATTTATGGCATGCAGTCCGTCAGTGGCTTTGTTTCCCTGGCAGAGTTTCAGCAGCTCACAGCAACTTCAAGAAAGAAGGAGGGCTTCTTTTTTTTAAAATAGGTATCACAAAAATCGATAAAGAGAAAACAAACGCATCACATTTAGTTCAGGTTGTTTATTAACAAATGAATAAGTAAGTAAATAAAGTTGATTTATAAAGAACCTTTCAAAAGAGCTGACGTCACAAAGTGCTGCACAATAAAAGATACATAAAGAATAGATTAAAAACAGATAATTGTAGAGGGATCAAACCAAGGCAAGTCTAAACAAATGGATCTTCATCCGCTTTTTAAAAATGTCCACAGACTTCACAGCTCTCAGTTCCAGTGGGAGACAGTTACAACGTAATAATAATGAGATCTCATGTAACTGCAGTGTCCCCTGAAATCAACAGAACATGCATGCTACTCATATCAGCTTAAACGATATCTTTGTTTTATCAGCATTGTGACTTCTGACCGTCCACCATCAGATTATTCCTGAGCACTTGTGATTTAAAAAAAATAAAAACACCTCAGATAACAGAGATGATGATGGACACATCGAGTTCTGTAAAAAAGACGGTGTCAGTTTAATTTGAGTGACCCTGTATGACCCACAGAAGCAAACCAGATAATCAGCTGTCGACATGTTTTTTATTCAGTCATTCTTAACGTCTGTTATCACTGTCAGCACGTTCGATTCTCACAAAGTGATTTCACACACGCACGGCGTGACATCTGAGGTGAGAAGAGAAGATGTTGAGATGCTGATTTCAGGATTCATTTAAAATGATAAATGTTCTGTTTCTTCCAGTAGTTCAAACTTTAATAGCCGTGCTGATTGTGATTGTTTAAAAAAAATAAAAGACAGGCATTTTTTAAACTAAAGAAAGGCGGTCCTGCATCACTATCCCTCAAACAAACCTTCACTTTTTAAGCTCTAAATCATGGATGGGCAACTTTGGTCACAGCAAGGGCCACATTCATTTAATTCTCACTGCCAGGGGGCCAAATTGTAGGATACAAAAACGATTACAGTCAATTATGTCTGAAATTTAACTCAACATATACCACTGATCAAATATTATTATGGACATATTTCTGGTTTTCAAGAGTTCATGGCAGATTTTGTCATGTTTTCTTCATGTTTCCAATTAACTGATGTGTAAAAATTGACCTGAGGGCCACGTTGAGGGTTGATGGGGTCCGCATGTGCCGAGCGCTTCTCTAAATGTTTCATCACGTCGCAGCTTTGTTAAGAGTTTTAATAGTAGGGCTTTTCAGTTTGAAGTTTAAGTTATATATTATTCTGTTTTTCCACCAAATACAATCACAATGCCATAATGCGGGGTGCCGGTGGTCGAGTGGTTATAGCTGCAGGCCCCATGTACAGAGGCTGGAGTTCTCGAAGCAGGCGACCTGGGTTCAAATCCGACCTTTGGCTCCGTCATTCCCAACTCTCTCTCTCTGCCTGATTTCCCACTCTATAAACTGTCCTATCTCTACAAAAAATGCATAAAAAGCCCAAAAATAAATCTTAATAAAAAATGCCTTAATGCCAATTTTTCCTCTTTAGAACACCTGGCTACGCTGCGTTTGTAAAATCAAGAAAAAAAAACAGAACTGTAATATTAACTATATTTAGTAACAGATTGAATGAAGTTTTTACAGCATATTAAATCACTGCCAGACAGCTCATGACTCCAGGCTGAACTATTTTTCATGTCTACGTTGTAAATAAAACAAACTCTGAGCGGCATCGTTGTGGTTTCCTCTCTGAGATGACAGACACAGAGAGGAGCCAAGCCTACACGGACTTAAAAGCCTCTCCAAACAAAACAAACAAGAACAATTACACTGTCGAACATGTCAAACAATGTCAGATCAGAGAAGAGCACAATGCTACTGTGGAGACATCACAATTTATTAGCTGACATTAATGTGACATATAAAGAACTAAAAGTGCATTTACCTTTTTGACCTCTCCCAGATCACACAGGGAGCGAGGGATTAAGTCTTTACATGCATTAACCTGACATTTACATTTGGATTGTATTGTTAAGCTTGTGAGTTGGAACTCTGCAGTTCAGGAACATTTGCAGCAAGTTTATCATAACCAAGCATAAACCTCTGCTGTTGAAATGTGGAAGTGCTAAAAATCTGCAGTTCCTCACTTCAGGCTGGCTGCAAAGGCCTCGAAAATCACAAACACACCTATTCAAACAAAGCAGACAGAAACATGTTGGGTGCACCCGCCTCACACCCAGTGACAGCTGGGATCAGCTCCCGCCCCCCATGACGGGATAATTTCTTCATCAGCAAAAGTTAGGTTTAACAAAACGTAGTTCTAAACATCTAAAGGATGTCTAATATGGTGACCGCTATCGATGGTCTTCAAAAGTCAGAAACATATGGAGTGAGATGTACGTCCACTTTTCATACAGTCAAAGATCGTGACTTGCTAACCAGACAGAAATGAAACTATCACAGTTACTTTAGTTTTGCTGGGATTTTCTGTCTGTGCTCTTCACCACATGTCCCGTAAAACTCCTCAAGAGGGAACGCTTGTTTTTTCCAGTTTATTTTTTCAGTTTTCTCTGGTTATGGAGGTGATTTGAGCTGCAGAGAATGCAAGAGCCACATTAGACCTTACTTCTCCAAAAAAAACATAACGCATTACAGACTCAAAGAGTTGATAAGACTGTTTCAGAGTTTCAGGGCAGACATCTGATCCTGCTGATGGTCAGAGAAATTTAGAATGGGGGGACAACTCTGCAACTCTAGCATCCTCAAGTGGTAGTGACAGATCAGTGTTTATGTTTGGTACTGGAAAAAACAAATCCATCCAGTGCTTTGTGCTTTTTATAAGGAAGCATGCTAGACGATAGGACAGTGGATAGAGTCAGAAATAGAGAGAGAGAGAGAGAGATGTTGCAGGGGCTGCACGGTGGTGCACTGGTTAGCGCTGTTGCCTCACAGTGAGGAGGTTCCTGTTTCCAAAGGTTGCAAGGGCTCAATCAAAATGATCTTATCTTATCATAAAGCGGTTCAACTCACACACATCAAGGCATTCTCGAACATGTACCACTGGGCAGGAGACGCTGGTTGTTGAGCTTTCTTTGGTGACATCTCTGAGAAAAACAGCAAAGACGCTCAACCTTTGTGTTAAGAAGATTACTCTGGTTTTGTCATTCTGTCTTTTAAGTTTGGTTATTTTCAGCCTAAAGCACTAATTATGTTGTCCCACAGAAGGAAGACAGGAATGAATAGGGCGAGCGGAAAATTACCTGTTCGTATAGAAGAGAAGCAAATGTTGCGAAAGTTTCTCACAGGTCATCATCTACCAGGAAACAAAACAAACATATGAGGTAACATCTTTCAGAACAGACATCTCGTAAATTTTCATCAACGATTAAAGAAAGTATACGATCACGTTTAATGAGAGGTGGAAGAAGTAAAGCATCACCTGTGTTTTCCAGATGTTTGTTGTTTCTTTGGCCAATACTGGTGATCAGCTGATGTGCAGTCGCCACCAGAGATTAAATATATGAACAAAGGAAAATGAGCAATATCACTGGACAAACAGCCAATCATAGTGACACATAAAGAGACTTCAATATTACACCTGAGGAGTAAGATTACAGGTCAGAAACCAGACACAGATCCACTGCCCTCAGGCCGTCTTTCAGAGCCCTTGTGAGGAAGACTTAAAGAATCCAGGTTTCATTCACCCACTCGATATCTTATGCACTAAAAGAGAATTATCCTTCAGGTTACTCTTCTTACACTATTGTTGCACATACCTCCACATTGCACTTTGCATAACTCTGTAGAAATGTACTTCACGTTATGAGCCTTTGACTGATTTTATTGATGATGATGTTTGTTAATTTATAATTTATAATTTGTTTATTTTGTCTGGCTTTAAAGTCTTTTTTAGATTCAGATGTTGTCAGAATCGTAATCTGATTTATTAGTCAGGTATGCTTACACACACACACACACACAAGGAATTTAACTTCGGTCCTGTTGTGTATTTTGTTTTTCCGTTTGCTCCTGTTGCAAAACAATCTTCCCCTCTTAGGCCAATAAAAATATCTGAATAGGAAATATTTTCAAGTATAGAAGAAAGACAAAGACCAACGCTTAAGGCTCCACAAGAACAGAAACCACACACTCCAGTATTAACAGCAGAAAATAAATAAATACACAACACAAGTCTGCCAAAGAATCACAAGGTGTTCATTCTTGAAGGGCTTGCACAAGTAGATTTTCTCATTATTTCATCCATTCCTTTAGATAAAGTCATATCATTTTAATATTTATGTGACATAAGTACCAACAATTTATTCAACAAATCTGCCATAAGAAAAGACTAAAAGGGAAAATGTGTTAAGATATTATAATAAACAGTCTGTGGGTGTAGAAAAAGTCTAAAAAAAAAGAGGCACATTATTATACAAATACATCAAAGTATGGTGAGAGAAGCTCAGTAAAATTTTGATGATAACTAACTGTGTGATAAACGGTGAGTTTTGTGCTGATCGATGTCCTGACTGGAAGAAGTCACTTCTGTTTTTTACACTTTTGTACCTTTATCTGTACAAGATCGTCTCTGGACTTGGAAAGATGTATTAAACCAGATTGTTAAATAATAACTCTGGGTTTTAAACAGTGAAAAGTAATTTTGTTGAAAAGTCAACATTGTCGTTTAAGAAGGTCATGTTTAAATCATATTTCAACATTTTTCAGGTATACCGATGAACTGATGACAAAAGGAGACAATTTTATTTATCTTAAATTATCATTATGTGGTCACAAGTTATTACAATCTGATTACATGGGAACAAGTTATTAACATAGACTGTAAATATTACAGGTTATTAACCTTCACAGCCCCTGAAGTCCCAAAAAGGGATTTTTATTTTTACTTCAGTACACAAGATAACTATCTTTCTTGTGCAAACAAAATAATTATGTTGTGCGGACAAGAAGATCAAGATCATCGCAAGATATCAACTTTGCGTGCTGTAGCCTGGAGGAAGGAAGAAACTTAAGAGACACTGAAACTTTTTTGCACCTTTAGATACGTGATTTCTTTTAAGAGCAAATTGTGCTAAGTGTGTTTGCAAAATGAGATATCTACAGCTGTCATACAACCCACAACATTTAGTCTACAGATTTCTGCTGCAGGCTCTCAAAGACACTCGTCACCCACACACACAGGTTTTCACACTGCCCACACACAGAGCTAAACACTCCGTTTAGAAGTCTAAATATAGCGCTGCCAGAGTAACAATGAACAGTCGTCTTCTGTCACGTTGATTGTGAAAAATGAACACCAAATATGTTGCCCAGCAGGTTCAGACAGATGTGTGAACATCAGCGCACATGCCTAAACCCACTCTAAGCGTTTCTAGTGAGACCTGCTAAAAACTATACCTTGAAGGTAAAATTCCAAACTGCACCAAAAAAAAAAAAAAATGTAATTTTAAAGGAGCAATATGTAACTCTGACACCTAGTGTTTGAAATTGGTATTGCAGTCCATAATAAAACATTAGAGAACAATACCTTGAAGGACAAATTGCGTAACTGCAGCACCATGAACTGAAGCCTGAGATGTGTTTGATCCCAAATTTTGTTTTTCAGAAAGAACATTTATTTTTGGTAATTAAGTACAATACAGTAAGTATATAATGCTTATTTATGCCTTAACTGTATTGCTATAATTTAGTGCTCAGTTGCAACGTTAAAAATATTTAACCAAACAAAAGTCTTTGTGCTCAGCAAACAAGACTTACCTTATAAGTAGGAAAAAGAAGGAGACCATGACATTTCTGGCTGTCCCATCATGTTCACTGCAAACTGAGAAATAACGGCTTAAAATGGTTCATCTGAAGTTTTGGGTTTTCACAAGAGGAGTTTTTAAAAAGGTGAAACAGCTCTAAGCAGTTTCAAAGAAAAACTCTGAACACCCAAATGACCAAAATAGGCACAACTTTATTTATTTTCCAAAACTGCAGCATTACAAACTAAAATCAATATGAAAACACAATACGAAAGAAAAAAAAGAATAACACTTCAGCATTGCTCACAATGAGAACAAACATCAGTTTAGGATTTCAATTTACGGATCTACAATGAGTAAAAAAAAGTCTATAGACGGTGAGTCGCCTCTTTCACAAAGTGGCATGTTGAGCTAGAAAAGCTCTGATTCTCTGCAGGAGCTCTTTCTTCACACTGTCGGGTACGAGTGCTGCAACAAAGAGAGAAACAAACATGTTGATATTCAGGAACAAACAGGGGAAGAGGACAAAACTGCAATACATGCTTTATTATATTTATTATGATGTACTGGACTGCATTGTGTTCTAACGTGCTTCTTTTTAACCATCATGAAGAAAAAATAACACCTATCAAATTTATACATTTCAGGGATATACTGCAATGAGCTGAAAATATTTTAGTGGATAAAGATCGTATTCTTCAGAAAACAAGCCTGATGTCATCCATCTTTCTGTGTTGACAAAAGTCCTGAGTCATGAGTTTCACAACCAGATTAAAAAAAACTCCACTTAGGAGCTTTAACACAAGAACATTAAATCTTCTGTTGTGTTGAGTTTGCATGTTCATGTCTGTACCTCTGCCTTTGGGTGTGACTTCTGTGACCAGATCCTCCACTGTGACATGCTCCAGACCCTTTTCTTTGATCACATCTGGAAAAAAAAAAAAGAAGGAAAAAGTTATCTCAGAAATCCCAGATACACATCTGAGCTCAGTAACCCTGATGTAAAGATCCAGCTTCAACATCCACCCATCTCCTTTGCATATACACTGCCTGTCCAAAAAAAAAGAAGCCGCCACCTGGATTTAACTAAGCAAATAGGTAAGAGCCTCCCATTGGATAATTACTGCATGGGCGATTATCTTTCAGCTGGTAACAAGTTATTTAACCACAACTGGTGCAATGAGTGGCTTCTCATTTCTTAAACTTCTATGTTGAAAGACCCATCCTGTGGTCGTGGAAAAGATGTTAAGTCTGTTTCGGTCAAATCGTTGCATGCGTCAAGCAGAGAAAACATCTAAGGAGATTGTAGAAACGACTAAAATTGGGTTAATAACTGTCCAATGCGTTATTAAAAACTGGAAGATTTCCCCTGTTCCAGAGTGATCAGGGTAAAAAGAGAGGCAGATGAAGTGATGCACCCGTCATGCCTACTGTGCAAGCCTGTGGGGGGGGGCAGTGATATGATCTGGGGTTGGTCAGGTCTAGGTTCAGCAACATTATGTGCCTGCAATGTTTTACATTTCATACTGTGCAATATTTATTTTATATTTCTGCAATATTTTACATTTCACACTGTGCAATATTTATTTTATATTTCTGCAATATTTTACATTTCAAACTGTGCAATATTTATTTTATATTTCTGCAATATTTTACATTTCATACTGTGCAATATTTATTTTATACTTCTGCAATATTTTACATTTCACACTGTGCAATATTTATCTATTTTCTTCTTTTGTTGTTTTTAGCTGTGGATGCTTGTATGTGTATGCTTGTAAGGTGAAGCCAAATAAATTCGTTGTACAATTGTATAATGACAATGAAGACATTCTGTTCTGCATCTATCTCTGAACACAGGTGATTCAGGTACTTTACCTTTGCAGTGTGCTTTCAGCTGATCCTTCCAGCCACACTCCACCAGCTTCGCCCTGAGCAATTCTTTCAACCTGCAGCCACACATTCAGTCCACATCATTTAAACGCATATCCAGGTAGAGCAGAGCTTGCAGTGATCGATGAGAAAGGAAAAAGGCTGCTTACCGCTCCCGCTCCCCCATCTCGATCAGCTTTTGGTTTATTGCAGCCCTCATCTGCGAGTCTTTGCTCATGATCTGAAATCAAACACACACCAGACGATGAGAGGAACACACACACAGGTATGTTTAATTCAGATAGCATGCAGGTAGACGCTGTTACCTTTTGTCGAGATGGATCAGCTGGGGGGGGGGGGGGAACACACGGTCCCTTCACAACACCGTTCCGCCTAGATCATTAAAGCAGCTGAATGGTTCCGCCTTGACGTGGGTTCATTTGGCACAAACGCTAAACGTCATTGTAAAAATAATATATATATGATACGTAAATTTACCTTCGTGGAAATGAATTTAAAGTCAGCAAGGGGAAGTGCACAAAACAATTTACAGGGGGAAAAAAATGTAAGAACTCAATCTCCATCGAGCGCCAATGCATTTCGTGTCCGTCGTGAAATAAGTCCGTGCGCACACAATCAAACAAACAAACAAACCGGAAGCGTTGTTTCACCAGCAGCAGCAGCAGCATCTCAGTTGACAAAACTTCTGCATGTGCCAGTGTTGTTTAAAAAAAAAAGGGGGGGACAATGGCTGCCTCGAATTATTCCCTGAAGGTCAACAGGGACCTGCTGGACCCCAACTTTGAAAGTTACAGGTTATCTCTGGACGCCATACCGACGTACAACGTGGAGCTGGATGCAGGTGAGAGGAACCTGCAGCACAGTTAGCACACTGTGCTAGCTCAGGTTAGCTGTAGTCCAGTGCAAGAATGAAACCTCTGTAGATACACTTGTGTCACAGGCACAAGCATGTGGCAAGCGTTTTACTCCACAAAGAACCACAATATTGGAACAACACGAAATCTGTGTTTTATATTTAGCCTGTATTTATCCAGGTTAGTCCCACTGAGGGCTACCTGGCTGCAACACAGGCTTTCAACCACAAAAACACCAGAGTGCACATTCAATAATAAGAAAATCATCAGTTAAAAAAGTTGCATAGAGAAAGTTTGGAGTCAGGATTGAACACTTAGGGTTACTTAGTCCTGAAGTTTAAATGCAGACTGCAGGTTGTTCCAAGCCAAAGGTACAGAGGTGCAGAAAACCTTAAAAAACTCTTTCTTTGGGATTAACAAATTGCACAACAGTCCACAAGCGTAGTTAATGTCCACCATGTTTAGAAACTCTTTAGATTCATCACAATCATCCATTATTCACCATGCACCTCATTAACTTATCATTTAGTATTTACCCTACCTGCACATAGCTCTGTGTATATATATTTATTTCTCGTTTACTGCACATAGATCTGTTTACATCTGTTAGTCTGATCACTGTCCACTTACATCTCCTCTTTTGTATTTTGTATTTTTAAAGATTTATTTTTTGGGGCTTTTTGTGCCTTTAATGGAGAGATGGGACAGTGGATAGAGTCAGAAACCAGAGAGAGAGAGAGAGAGAGAGAGAGTGGGGAACGACATGCGGGAAAGAGGCCACAGGCGGGATGCAAACCGGGCCGCCCGCTTGAGACGACAGCCTCCATACATGGGGCACGCGCACTAACCATTGCACCACCAGCGCCCCATATTTTGTATTTTTAAGTTTAAGCTCTAAGTTGTGTTTAAATTGACACTTTATATTTAGGTTAAAATGTTTCGTCTACCTGCACTGTTGTTAATTTACTGCTCTGTGTGCCTTTGAATTGCCCCCCGGGGACAAATAAAGTTTTTTTTAATTGAATTGAAGAACATACTCTTCTGCTTAAAGCACTTTATAAACGCTGGTGATCGTTGGTCACATGTTTACACGTCGTTCTTACCTTCCTGCTTTTTTTCTTTGAATCTCTGCTGCAGCTGTCGAGGAAGTGAAGCTGAAGGATACTCAGTACACTCTGGAGCACATGAGAGCGTTTGGCATGTACAACTACCTCCACTTAGACCCTTGGTATGAAGACAGCGTTCTGTTTGTGGACTGCAAAGGACGGGTTCTCAGTCTCAGCGTCACCTTGGTGAGCTTTTAAAACCTCTTTAAAGTCAGTCGGGCGGTTTATTATGTTGCTTGTGCTGCATGGGGTTGTCATGGAACCAGAATTTTTAACCTCAATGCAACACTAGTAAAAAAAATCATACGATATCAATGCCTGTTTCGATACCATGGCAACAAGAATACAAGTCCTAGGCGCCCAATACTAGGCCTCTTTTTTTTAATGAACAAACTGCACACTGTATACATTTCACAAATACATCTGCAGCTTTTCGGTACTGAACGTTGCCAATTTCTTCCTGCACTTTAGATAGTGTCCCCTCCTCTGCTCTCTTTCTATTTTTAAGACACATCAACTTAACTTCTGCGTCTTTACGAGACGCCAAAAGGATTTGAGAAACGTCAGTATTTGAGAAACGTCAGTATTTGCAGATTTGTGTATTGGAATCGCACACCACACTCTCTCTCTCTTTTGGTTAGGGGAACTTTGAAGTATGTCTGAATGTCTGAAGTTTCAAAAAAAGCTTATATACTGTATGATACTGTCGATTATTAAAACCTTTGAGATTGTATCTTTAAAAAAAAAACCAATATGAAGTCTTTTAAGTTTTGAAATGACCTTCTAATGCACCTCATCTCATTTCCCTGCTGTCTAAATGTCCCCTCTAAAAAGTGGACGCTAAATCCTTTTTTTATTTTATTTTAAAGCCATCAGGTCAAATGAATCTGTTGTGATTCTGATGTTGTGACGGTGGAAGTGTTGGTGGGATTCAGTGCATCAGACGCACCACTAGATGGTGACCAAACACCTGTTTAATGGCAGCATCAGTCCATGCCCCATCATGCCCCATGATGCATTTCTGACAGGAGCTGTAAAGAATTTTTTTTCATGTTCATAACAGAAAAACACATTTAATTGAATCATTCTTTGCACTCGTGAACTCGATGCTCTGTTCAAGAAAGTTAGAGACGCAGTATGTGGGGAAAAAGATAAACTTTTTATCAAATTTTTTCTGCTTGTTGTCTGATCAGACCTGAGGACAAAGTTTAGGAAGAGCTCTTTTAAGTCTGTGGCGATTGACCTGGTTATCCGGATCGATAATTGATCCGGGTTTGTTATCCAGCACCAACATCCTGAGGCAAGGAGCAAAAAATCAGTTAGATGACCTTTTCAGCAGTGACTCCTTTTATGTCTCAGAACTCATTGACCGTAATTAGAGATAATTGGCTGTGAATCTGTTTTTTTTTTTTTTCTTCTTTCTTTTCAAACTGGCCTGGATGACGAGCATGAGACTATAACCCAGTGAGACGGACAGTTTTTCTGCCTTTCAGTGGCATCATTAAATTACTCTTAATGAATATGTGTTGCTCACAGTGTAATTACAATCATCACATCGTAATTATCGCTCCTGGCTGCCCCCCCCAACCCACCCCACCCCTCATTGTACGAGGCTGTTCACACTCTGTCCGGGGCATTAATGCATCAGAAAGCGATCTGAAAGGCGCCTCATACATCATGTAATGTTGTGATTCACAGTGTCACGCTCCATGGAAACAAAAAGGCAGCTGCTGTACAGTCCCTTTCAAAAACCCTGTTACTTCATGCAATGAGTAATTGATGCTCATGCAGTTGCATATATCGGTCTCTTACTAATAAGGCTGTGAGAGTCGTGAAGCCCGGTCATCTATAGGAGGTGACACGTATCCTTGTTCTTAATGAGTATATTTTTCTGTTCTTCATGTTTTCTTTTCGACATCTCTTCCTTTGTCCTTTTTACGTCAAGAACATTATGTAAATAATAGGCTCCCTGTTTATTTGATACCATGTGTAAAGTGCAGAATGTCTTCATGGGTTTGGAGTGGTTGAGTTTCAGACGTGGCCTCTCTCTCTCTCTTCTGTTAAAGTTCAAAGCCCTCTCTTTGAACTGTCTCAACTCGAGTCCTGACTAGACTGCTGAGAGTCACATCTAAGTTAACCTAAAGTTAGGCTGTTTCAGAGACCCTCTACTTTACTTGTAGTACGTACTGATTTGGCCAAAAATTCAGTAACAAATGCGAGAGCCGCAGTATGCCAAAACTACCCTGACTCATTTATTCAGTCTGGCTTTTATATAGTGTTTTATATCAATTCAAATCTTAACATTGCTGTATTGTCTTTTTTATCCTCCGACATTTTAAATATTTTCCTCTTATGTATTTATTTAATATCTTGTTGCTTTTATGTGTCGTATTTTATTTTATTTTATATACATATTTTTTTAATTCTTATTGGTGTGCATTAGTCTCTCAATGATTTTATAAACTACTTTTTGTCAACAACTTTTCTGCGCTCTTGTAAAGCACTTTGAACGCAATTTAATTTGTCTGAAAGGTGCTGTATAAATAAAGTTTCATTGACTGTGTGCTGATTCTAGAAAAATCACAGTATGCATCAGACCAGTTCCCTCACGTGCTGTTTCCCACAATGCAAAGCACCAGGTCGGACATCAAAATGACGGACATAATGTTTTATTTCAACGTTTATCATAAAATTGCATCTCCAGTGATTTGCATAATTTGCTCTTGGCCATATTGACATTTCTGTAATGTTTTAATTAATCGTGCAACCCCTCGCTTGGACTCATCTTTAAACCTGATTGTTTCATGGACGCAGGGATTGATGGCTCTGTTTTCTCTTGAATCCAGGACACCGCCCTGGGGAAGCCGAGAGAGGTGTTCCGTTTAACCGATGAGTCCAGAGAGTGTGAGGACCGTCTGTGTGCGTCTCTCAGCCTCACCTCGGCGACCTGGGCGGCTCTCGCTGACGGTGCTGGACGACTTTATCTCCTCCGCACCGGTAAGAGAGGAGACAGCTCCCATATGAAGTGGGAGGTAAGTAAATCACATGAGTTTGATCCTTAGAGAAATGCACATGTTGGATTCCCATGAATAAGACGTCTTCGATGGCATAATCGATCACATCTCCGCTCACAGAAGTTTCAAATGTGAAACCAAGATTAGTGGAGAGTAGTGATTTATTGAATGTCCGAAGGGCCAGACACCTCAGTAACAGGTGATGTAACCACTGAATCAATACATGATACATTAACAGTCCACAGGTGCAGAATAACAATTTAATACAAAAGGTGATTCATTATGATAATGACAAATAATCCTCTTTCTGCCAGCAGATGATTTCGCTGGTGACAAGCCAACGTTTGATATTTGTTTCTTTCTGGCACCTGATTAAT